AGGCCGATTGGGACCCTTAGCTCCAAGTTTAAGGTTTTATAATGCCCAAGTGTTGAAATTTCTAGTTTTTGTCTAACTCTAAAATCGGATCCCAGATTGAGATACCATCATTTTCTATAAGTTTCTATTTTGAAATTGTGGGTCTTCATTCATTTTCATAGCGAACGGAGCGAAACAAGCTGATTGGGACCTTTAGCTCCAAACTTTTTACTTTAAGTTTTCATAATTCTTAAATGCTGAAATTTCTAGTTTTTTGTCCAACTCTCAAATCGAGTTTCGAATCGAGATTATTGTTTTTTCCTACAAGTTTCATACAAGTTTAACACCCAGAAGCAGATAAAAAAACCGTTTACCTCGTTTTTGTTCCTGATGGGGACCCTTAATGGCTGTATCCGATATGTGTACACCCAAATGCAGGTGGTTAAGTTGTAATAATAATCCGATTAAGTTCAAAGTCGAATCCACAGAGAACTATTGTTGGTGTTTTGAAATAAGTAGTGACATAGACCATATGATTGTAACCTTTGAGATTTATAGTGATGATGTTTAGAGATTTTCCTAGGCCAAATATATCATTCTTTTCAAGAAGTTTTTCTAGACAAAATATAAGATAAATTCAAGTATAAACAGTCACTCTTTAGCTCGAGGATATGAACATGTAGTTAATCATACGGTTTATTATACTTGTGTTTGGTAACTCAATTAACTCATGTGTCAACAACAAGTTAATCGAAAGATAAAGGTGGATTGTGATAATTAAGCGCATAGTTCCGATGCCTTTCTAGAAGTTTACAAAAATTATATGTGCTAAGAATCAACCCCGTCTACAAACAAACAAGCGTTTTAATAAGGCATCCAACCATGGCATTAACATTCCATCATTTAATTGAAGTTCAATAATTGTGAAGATTGAAGGGTTGTCATGAAGATCTAGCTGAGATACTTGTCTTGAACCAATGAGTCTTTCTATACAAGAGTCATCTATGTTATAGAAAATACTCACGGTTATACAAAGTACATTAGTTTTGCTAGATGCAGTCAATCATTCAATAAGCGAGTGAAATATAAAGCATTTAAGCATAAATGAAATGCACAAAAATAACTTTTGGATAATTTATACATGTCCATCACCTCTTACTAAAGAGTGAATGAGAAACTACTCACTCTTCATGGCTTTGGCAAAGCTAAAAAAGTAAGTGATGTTCATCCCTCCAAGTAGAGGAATTACAAGGAAAAACTCACTAAGTGAGGAGCTGATCTTCGACAAAGAATGAGTGCATCACGTTCCACCCTTCATGGCTTTGGTAAAGCTCTAGGAAAGTGAAAGAGTTTAACTCCTCTAAGGGAAGAAGGAAGCTCAAGCAATAGAAGTGAAAGACAATTAGTGAAAGTAGAAGAAAGCTAGTCACTTTTGGAGGGTTTCCACCGCAACCAAAAGGTGATCTACCTTCCTTTTTGCAAGTAATTGAAAGCCTAAGTCTAAGACTAATTCTAAAACAAGCTAAGAAAATTTTGGTCTAGTTTCAATCCAACTCTCCCTTTGAAGCTTCCACAAGGGGAGTATTTATAAGCAATAAGGGGGGGCCAAGAGGGTGTGAAAGAATAGTGTCGGGCCTTGAAAGTCCTACTGAAAGCCATCCACTCTGCAGCTTGTCTTGGGAAAGTGTTTGAACGTTGTTACTATCTTTGCTTGATGAGCATTCGAACATGGAGATACAGCCTAAATTCCCCACTCAAGTAGCATGTGTTCTTCTGGAGATCTACTTCCATACTTCTTGACTACTGCCCTTGCACTCATTAGCCTGGTCCTCAATAGTGAAGGATAACGTTCAAACGTGTTTGGACGTTCGAACGTGATACTCAAGTACCTCAATTGTTTCCTTCTTAACTGCAACACGTCATGTCTCAGCATTATGATCTTCAAATAATTCAAAGGAACGTTCAAACGTGAGTTGATGTTCAAACGTTCTTGCTTTGTTCCAAACTTTTCTAATTTTGTCTCGCAATATGCTAGTGTTACATTCAAGTTTTATTTTTGTTTCCCTTGAGCCCTTGTTCTCTTTAGGACCTGAAATATCATCATATAAACTCCATCAAAGTATAATTAGCCTTAAAAATGCATAGTGATATGTTGATTTTAACTACTAATCACTTAACTCCAAGTTTTAAGCTTTCATAATAAATTTTAATTACAAGTTTCAATCATTCTTTTGCCATAATATTGGTTAGATTTAATATCAGATAATATCACCATTATTGTGATAAGATTTCGCAGAATTGTGGGCAATTTATCATAATTAAGGGCAGATTTACCACCTTTGAGAGTGATTTTACCACAATTTTGGATAAATTTTCATTTTTAGAGGAGAATTTATGAATTCTTTTGTTAAAATCATGATAACTTTGGGCACCATTATGAAGATAAATGGTGATTTTTATCACAGAAGTGATTTGAGTTAAAACCATAGTGGACGAATTTATCACAACTAGGGTAACATTACAACATCGAAGGAAAATTTTAGTACAGTTTAGGGTTAAGTTAGAATGACTGTGAATAATGCAACTAGTATATAAGCCAATTTTACTTTCATTTTGGTTAATTTTTTGATGACTGCCGATAATAATACATACTTAAAGATAAATGTACAACATCAGTGCGATGCATTAGTGTCATATTTACAATAAATGTGGTCAAAGGAGCCAATCATATTTTTACCATTATATTGGTTATATTTAATATCATTAAGAATGATATTACTATTGTTGCGATAAGATTTATCAAGATTGTGAACAATTTTACAACAATTAAGGGTAGATTTACCACCTTTGAAGGTGAGTTTACCACAATTATAAATCAATCGATGGGTACCAAGATCTAGTTCAAATTTCAAGGTAATTGTAGCCACCAATTTCACTAGCTGTACTTTTTTACTATCAATATTAACAAAAAAAATACCATACACGTGGTGCTTCCCTAATGTTACCCCCTTAGTGGATTGACACGGCTAGGGCATATGACTGTCTTGCCCAAAGACGCCCATGCCTTAGTCAAGTCAGAGTGCACTTGATGAAGCAACTCCTTGGTGCAAAGTGGTGCACGACAAGTGGGTTTAGGGAAGCCCTATGCATGGCTAAGGAAGGTAACTCATGCATGGGCACGTTGGACACAAGCATGAAAAACAAGCAAGGCTAACTAATGGACTCAAATTATGGGGCATTGATAGCTCAAAAGACCAAGACATGGGCAGGATAGGGCATGACTTGGCTTGCAAACAAGACTAATCATGTGTTATGGGCTCGCAAGGAAGGCAAGTGCACATCATGTAAGGTGGTTTTAAATAATTTAGCCATGTGCACTATAGATAATGGTGGTTCTGAGTGGTTACTGGCATTCAAGGTAGTTTTGTGCAGTTGTTGGGATGTGTGCAGCATGTGGGAAGTTGTCGGCATGTGCACACAACATGCAGAGTGGTTATAGGCAGTTATTGGCTAGGTCTGCCAATAGTTACAATTGCCCCCTGCCATGATCAGCACATTGTGGGAGTGACAGAGAGACTCAACCATGATCAGCAGGTTGTAGGAAGCTTTGTGGGTGAATCTGACTAGCATGCTATTTATAGGCATGCTAGGGTCTGCAGTGTAACCTAGAGAGTTTGGGCACAATTTGTAGCAGGCCCTTAGCTGATTTCCTTTAGACTTATTGAAAAGTAAAAAGTTTGGCCATTTATCCTTTAATTTGGTTTGTGTCTACTGTGAGTTTATTGCTTGCCCTTATTTTTTTCATTGTGTGTTTTCTATGAATGAGTGTAAGTATTGGCTGAGACTAAGTTTGTATATCAGTGTCATCACGAGGCAAAGAATTTGAGTAATAAATTTGACCCCCATGACAGTTGGTATCAAAGCTATAGTTTTTTATCATAGCTAGTGGAAACACTGCTGAATTATATGAAAGTGCGACCTATCTTGAGGATTTTCTAGGCACCCTTGATGGTGATGTTGCAACCAGTGTGTTTGTGCAGATGGAGCAACACATTGTTCAGATCAAAAGCTTAAGAATGGACTTCAACAGTTATGTGATAAACACGGACGCTAAGATTGCGATGACGATGGAGGATGTTTTGTCCCTTACTAATGTTGTCAAGAACAATCTCAAGGATTTTGAAGAAAAACTGATCCTTGTGAAAAGGGTTATGCATTATTGACCTACTACGGTGAGACTTCTTCGAAGACCAAGGTTCCTGAACCCAAGGCCTTTGGAGGTACTTGGAATGCCAAGGAATTAGAGAATTTCCTATGGGTTATGGAGCAGTACTTAAAAGCTGCTCATGCGCATGCGGGAGAGATGGTGACCATAACTAGCATGTACTTCTCGGGTGATGCCAAGATATGGTGGCAAACTCAAAGTGAAGACGATNCTCATGTGGGAGAGATGGTGACCATAACTAGCATGTACTTCTCGGGTGATGCCAAGATATGGTGGCAAACTCAAAGTGAAGACGATGCTTCGACGAGACGTGCAAAAATCAAGACATGGGAAACACTAAAAAATGAATTGAAGGATCAATTCCTCCTAGTAATATGANCGCATGCGGGAGAGATGGTGACCATAACTAGCATGTACTTCTTGGGTGATGCCAAGATATGGTGGCAAACTCAAAGTGAAGACGATGCTTCGACGAGACGTGCAAAGATCGAGACATGGGAAACACTAAAAAATGAATTGAAGGATCAATTCCTCCTAGTAATATGACATGGATTGCTATGGATTCGTTTAAGAAATTCAAGTATACTGGAACCGTTCATGATTATGTGAAGGAGTTCAGTTCGTTGATGTTGGACATCAAGAACATATCCGAGGAGGACAAGCTCTTTAATTTCATGTATGGGTTACAAGGTTAGGCATAGGCTGAGTTACGTAGATAAGCGGTGCGTGATCTACCCAAGGTCCTTCGGAGAAGAAGAAAAAGTAATGGGCANGAACAAGCTCTTTAATTTCATGTATGGGTTACAAGGTTAGGCATAGGCTGAGTTACGTAGGTAAGCGGTGCGTGATCTACCCAAGGTCCTTCGGAGAAGAAGAAAAAGTAATGGGCAGTAGTCAAGGCCCTTCGGAGAAGAAGAAGAAGAAGAAGAAAAATGTTGGCAATAAGAAAGATTGTGTTGGCCCATCAAAGGACGTAAATATGGTGGACTGGAAGAAAAAGAATAGTGGTGATTCTAAAAAGTCAGACAATGTCCAAAAGAAGAAAGTCTTTTATTATGGATGCTTTCTCTGCGGTGGCCTTCATCATGCCAAAGACTGCCCCCAAGAAGGAGAAAGAAAGAACCCTCATTGCTAAAAATAGTGACAATGATGACGCATGTCCCACTCATGTCAATCCTCTGCAATTGCTAAATGCTATCACTACGAGAAAGGTTCAGCAACCTCACAAGGGCTTGATGTGCATGTAAGCGTGGGTGAATGCCAAGGAAATTTTCACCATGGCGGACATGGGTGCTACCCATAACTTCTTTGCCCAAAGAGAGGGGGGATCATTTAGCTTACAATTGATGAAAAACACTAGCAAACTCAAGGCTGTCAATTATGAGGCAATGCCAATGTGTGGCATGGTAGAAATCAGCCTTAATGTGGGTCTGTGGGAAGATCGTGTGAGTTTGATGGCAGTACCCTTGAATGAATTTGAGGTTATCCTTGGAAATGAGTTTTTCATCAAGTGAAGGTGGCGTTAATGCCACATCTAAATGGGGTGCTAATCTCATATGAGAGAGCACCATGTTTTTGTAGTTGTAGTGATGGCAGACCAAAGTAAGAAAAATGGAAAGTGGAAGGTGGAAATGTTATCCGCTATGCAAGTGAAAGATAGACAACGGAGAGGCGAGATGACATACCTCGTACCCTTGGTGGAAATCAAACCAGATATGCTGGTTGAAGTGCTTGATACAGTGGCAAAAATTCTAGGGGAATTTGATGATGTGATACCCCTAGACCTCCCCAAGAGCCTTTGCCCCAGATATGCAAATTGACCACAAGATCAAGTTGGAGCCTGGTGCAAAGCGTCCAGCTTGTACCCCTTATCGGATGTCGCCTATTGAACTGGCAAAGTTGAGGAGGCAGTTGAACGAATTGCTAGATTCTGGTAGTATGAAGCCCTCAACTGCGTCATATGGAGCCCTAGTTCTATTGCAAAAGAAACCATATGTTTCACTGCTAATGTGCATCGACTATCGGGCATTGAACAAAGTGACAATCAAGAACAAGTACCTTGTTTCAAACGTTGTTGATCTATTCAATAGGCTTTCCAAGGCAACATTCTATATGAAGATAGACTTAAGGATTAGGTATTGACAAGTTAGGATTATAAAGGGAGATGAATCCAAGACTTTGTGTGTGATGCATTATGGGTCTTTTGAAATCCTTATAATGCCTTTTGGGCTCACAAATACCTCGGCAAATTTCTACAATCTAATGAATGACGTCTTTTAGGAGTATATTGATGGCTTTGTAGTTGTGTACTTAGATGATATTGTTGTCTATAGTGAGACGTTGGAGGGCCATTTAGATCATCTAAGGACTATGTTCTCACAGTTTAGAGAGCACTAGTTGTATGTTAAAAAGCAACAGTGTGAATTCTATCAACAAGAAGTGATGTTTCTTGGGGCATTGGATTACCAAAGGCTAGATCCGGATGGATGAGAGGAATGTGATGGCAATCGTTGATTGGCCTGCACCAACCAAGGTGCCTAAACTGTGGTCGTTTCTTAGCCTAGCCAATTATTATTGCAATTTCATTTAGGGATATTCAAAGAACTACAATGCCCTGACTGATTTACTAAAAAAGGACCAAAAATGGGACTGGAATGGTGCATGTCACAGCTTTTGTGAAACTGAACTATGCAATATCTTTTGCACCAATGATGAGACTGGTTGACTTCAATCTACCATTCAAAGTGCACATTGAAATGTCCAGTCGTGCCATTGGAGGAATCCTTGTTCAGGAAGGACACCCTGTTGCCCTTGAAGTCGAAAGTTGAAAGAAGCTGAGCAACGATACTTAGCACATGAGAGGGAAATGACTGATGTGGTGCATTGCCATGAAATTTGGAGGCATTACTTGCTGGGAATGAAGCTCACCATCAGGACAGACAACGTGTGGGTGCATAGGCCCAGAAGGCAGAATCAGGTTGTTGATGCATTTAGTAGGAAAAAGTTCCATGACTATGTCGCTGCACTATCCAGTTTGCAGACTGACTTCCTTGCAAGAGTCAAAGAGCATGTCCAGACTGATGTTGCTTATGAAAAAATGAAGTAGCAAGTTGGCGAAGGTCTGGTGTGCAAATATTGATTGGATAATGGCAAGCTATATTCCAAGGGAAGCAGACTCTATGTCTTTTTAAGAGGGGAACTAAGGCGAGAGTTGCTGCGTGAAACACATGACTCTTAATGGGCTAGACATCCCGCAGTTGAGAGGATGTTTGCACTGTTGTCTCGTTCCTATTACTGGCCCAAGATGGAAAATGAAGTTGTCAGAACTTGTCTCGTTTGCCAACTCGACAAAGTTGAAAAGAAGAAGGCATCAATTTTGTTGAAGCCACTACCCGTTCTTGATAGACCATGACAATCAGCCTCAATGGACTTGATATGCAATTTTTCAAAGGTGGATGGCATTGTTTCGATCATGATGGTGTTCGATTGTTTTTCCAAGTATGTGGTGTTTATACATGCACTCTATGATTACCCTGCAGATGTTGCTGCAGAACTGTTCTATAAGTATGTTGTGAAGTACTTTGGATTACCAAAAGACATAGTCAATGATCACGACACAAGGTTCACTGGCAGATTCTGAACTGTTGTTCAATCTTATAGGTTTTGAGTTGAAGTTCTTCACAGCAAGTCATCTGCAAACTGATGGTCAAACAGAACGGGTTAATGCCTTGTTGGAGGATTATCTGCGACACTATGTCACAACAAGTAAGTTTATAGATACTGCCCAATTTTGCTACAACTTGCATCTATCTTCCACTATAGGATTAAGTCCCTACGAATTGGCTATGGGACATCAACCACTTACTAAGGCAAAGGAAAGCTTGGATAGAGAACCAGAGGTAGATGACTAGTTGCATATCAGTTTGCCCGTTCCAAGCAGTAGTTTCTTAATAAGGCAAAGGATAGCTTGGATAGAGCTGCCCATTACATAATGAAGTATGTCAATCAAGGTCGTAGGCCACTGTAATTTCAAGTTGGTGATCAAGTGTTGCTAAAATTGACTCCTGCAATTTGGAAGAGGATCAATAGTAAAATAGTGCACCGCAGGCTGGTTCTCAAATACAATGACCCCTTCGAGATAATAAAGAAGGTCGGGAATGTTGCCTATTGCTTGAAGCTTCCCGATCGATTGAAAATTCACCCAACTTGTTGTTTGAGTTTTTTGAAGCCTTTTCATAAAGACGTGCTAAATGCCAGACGAAAACATGCCAAGAGGGCTCCGTCTATCATCATAAAACAGTTTGATAGGATGGTCGATAAGATTTTGTCTCACATGACCATGGGTCAAAGTAAGAAGAATTATATAACTGATTTCTTAGTGCATTGGAAGGGTGGTTCCGTGGCAAACACGAGTTGGGAAAGAGATGTGACTCTTTGGTAGTTTGAGAAATAGATTGAGGGGTGTTGGGACAACATCTCGCCGAAGACATCGAGCTTTTCTGGTGGTAGTGGTTTGTTATCCCCTTAGCAGGTTGACACAGTTAGGGCATATGGTTGCCTTGCCCAAAGGTGCCCATGCCTTAACCAAGTCGAAGTGTGCTTGATGAAGCAACTCCTTGGTGTAAAGTGGTGTGTGATCAGTGGGTTTAGGGAAACCCCATGCATGACTGAGAAAGATGCATGAGCATGTTGGGAACAAGTAAGCAAAGCAAGCAAGGCTTGTTGATATGCTCGAATTGTAGGGCATTGCTAGCTTGAAAGACCAAGCTATGATCTAGGCATGACTTGACACGTAGGCAAGACTAATTAGATGTTATGGGCTCGCAAGGAAGGCATGTGCACATCATATGAGGTGGTTCTGAATAGTTAATGCATGTGCACTGTAGATGGTGGCAGTTCTAAGAGGTTACTGGCACATGTATGGCATGGAGGACGGTTTTGTGCAATTGTTGGCATGTGCACAACATGAGGGAAGTTGTTGGCATGTGCACACAACATACAGAGTAGTTATGGACAGTTTATGGCTAGGTTTGCCAATAGTTGCAACTGCCCCTGCTATGATCAGCAGATTGTGGGAATGGCAGAGGGACTTAACCATGATCAGCAGGTTGTGGGAAGATTTATGGGTGAATCTGACTAGTGTCTTACATTGTCCAGGCGGTTGAGCTTGTAATCGCTACTTTGTATGCTATTTATAAGCATGCTAGAGTTTGCAGTGAAACCAAGAGAGTTTGGACACATTTTGTAAGCAGACCCTTGGGGCTCATTGAATGTGAAACCTTATAATTCATGGAAAACGGATGTGAAATTTCTTAAAATCTGGTTCTTAAGGTTAAATACATTCATTTTCCATTAATTATAGCAAATTACTTAATTTCTCAGTCAAATTAGGGCTTACTCTTTCTATTTTGGGGATTTATTAAATAAAAAAAAGTTAAAATAGTTGTAATTAATACCGTTGGAGATGACCCAATGAAGCCAAAGTAAAGCTTCCTAAAGATTCCGACAAAGCAGCACAAAGATTCTAGCAAAAAACTTCCCAAATACCATAGAAAAAACTAAATTAGCATCGAACACTTTCTCCTTCCTTCTCTATATGAACGATCTCGAATATAAGAACACCACTATTTTCTGCTTCTATAAATATGGTGAATCCAAGATTTTGATGACTATAACCCAACAATTTGTCCGACAATATATGGAAGATATGGATTGAAATTCTTTCATTTTTTAAATTCAAAAATTTTGGGAATTTTTCCCGCTGAATGGTAGGTTTGGAAGTTGACATTAATGTCTTCTTGGTAAATTGATGCCTAACAAACCGGTAATGCTTTTGTTTTCCAAAATCGGATGTCTCTTCGTCTCCCTCATATGCGAGGAGTTCTATGTCTTTTTGCTAGTAGATGGAATTATTTTAAAAATTAGACTTTTATCCTATTAAGTCCTTATAGAGTTACCGGCCCCCTAAGCCCCAATTTATTTTTGAATAGATTTAAATTTCATAGGGCATTTTTTTAATCTAATTTTGTTTGATTTTGACTAACTATGCACTTAAAAATTATGAAGCCTTCTTGAAATATAGGGCTTAGAGACCAAGTTTTGTCGGCCTTATGATTGGGCCGGCTCTGTGCAGTG